CCGAGCAGCCTTGGGAAGGCCCCCGCCCCCGCCCCTCCCGGGGTCCCATCCCCCCTTCCTCCCGCCCCCTTTGAGCCGTCGCGCCCCTGGGTCCCTTAGGTTTCGCACCTGCGCGGCGCGGGCAGGAGGGAGTGGGGAACCTGGAAGCATCTGGTGACTGGCTGTTGGGGATCGGGAGTCTCAGGTCTGGAAACCTCCTTCGTGGTCCTTCTTAGCCCCACGATGAAGCCGGGTGATTTTATTTTATTTATCAATCATTTTATTGGGGGGCGCTTACAAATCTTCTGACAATCCATTATGCAATTGTATGAAGCACACTTGTACATATGTTGCCATAAACCTTTCCCAAAACACCCTGGTGATTTTAAAAGGTCATCCCGGTAAGTCTTCACGGAACCAGAGCGTGGGCTTTGGGAGGGGGAGTATGCGTATTTGTGGATGTATTTGGGGGGATAGATAACCTATACTTTTATCTTCTCAAAGGCGTCCCCAAAAGTTCAAAACAAAACAAAGACACACATACACACACCCACACACCCAAACCCACATTGGCTTAAACCATTCAAGAATGCAGTTCGACAGGGCATTCCTACAGCAGTGATCATTCTTAGTGATCAAGATTCCTGGGATCTGTCTTCTTCAACATATCTGGGGTTTTCCAGGGCAGCACCAAATTTCAGGTACTGCCTTAAATAGGGAGCTGGGGTGGCCTAGTGGGCTATGTACTAGATGCTAATCACAAGGTCAACCACAGGATCCCAGCAGTCCCTCTGGGAGAAAGATGAGACTATTCCCTAAAGATTTAAAACCTTGGAAACACAGGGAAGCAGTGCTACCCTGTCTTCTAGGGTCAACTCTATAGCAGTGACTTTTTGAACGAATCTTGTAATAAGCTATTTCCCAGAAAACATACCCACTTATTTGAACTGAACATTATGAACAGAAACTCCAGTCCTATCTTTTGTTCCCTTTATGTTTGTTTGTTTTTCTGGGTCTTTTCCAGTTTCTCCAAATTCCTTAAAGATTAAAACATAGGTCATGTTGTTTTGCATTTATTTTTGACAAATAGCAGAAATAATCCTAAAACAACAGCATAGCAAATGTTAAGTTTGTTTTTACCCCCCCCTCTATTTTCATAAGATAAGAGGTCTATAATAGGTTAGAAAACTAGATAGAATATTAGCCCAAACAAACAAACAAACAAAACCCTGCCATCAAGGTGATTCTGACTCATAGCCATCCTCTATAGCATTTTCATGGCTTTAAATCTTCACAGAAGCAGACAGCCTCATCTGCCTCCTATGGAGT